ACTTGATGAAATCATGCCGCGAGAATTAAACGGAGGATACCCCCGGCGTGTGTCGGCGTTGCGGGCGTGTGGAGGCACGAGAGGACTCGGGCCCGAGCTCCAATTGGCGGGAGCAAGACAACGGTAGGAGTTGACTGCAGTGTATACACAGTTAATTAAGCTGGAGTACCACGGCGGAGCCGCCAGAGGAGGAACGGGAGGAACCTAGCCAGAGGGAGACGGCCGATGAGAGGCGGCAAACGGAGGGACGAAGAAGGAGAAAGAGCCGCTCTCGAATGAAAAGCGGCGAGAGGAAAGCGGAGCAACACTCAGGTAGGACGGAGAAGGAAATAGAGAGAGGTGGAGACAGAGACAGAGAAAGAGGGAGGGAAAGAGAGAGGGGGAGGGAGGAAGAGAGAGGAAGGAAGGAAGGAAGGGAGGGAGGGAAGGAGAGAGAGAGAGAGAGAGAGAGAGGGAGCGAGAGAGAGAGAGAGAGAGAGAGAGAGAGAGAGAGAGAGAGAGAGAGAGAGAGAGAGAGGAAAGATCGGACGGAGTAAATGCGCGCTGCAAGGAGAGAGGGACAGAGGGATGCGCTACTCTGTCCTGTGGGCTGCAAACGTAATTTGCTCTCTGGATATGCAGTCCCAGCGGTTCTCAATCGTGACCGGGAGTAACGTAGTTTGTCACGTCCGCGTCGTCGCGAAATTTCACTTCTACGCCGAGCACTCAGGCTCAACTCGGACCGAGAATTTTTCGTCGAGTCCGCGGGAATTTCGGTAATCCCAAAGTTCGTCTCGCGCGCGCGTTCAAGCGTAGGACACCCCGAACGAGGTGGCGTTTTGCCGCGTGACACCTACGACTTGGAGTCCCTCGAGCGAACATATGCGATGCGATGTCGTCGACAATGCGAGCGTTAATGATCGGTCCGTCCGCGCCGGAGAGAATTCCCTTTCGAGACAACTCGCTCAGGCTCTCATCGCGCTTCGGTACTCCATTTCTCCTCCCGGCGCGACACGACGGCGTACACGAGCCAACGTGGGGCCCTGCCCGCGGTGTGCGCGGGGCTCACTTGTACACAACGGATTAGAGGCGACGGAAAAGCCCCGAATCCGACCTCAAAGAGCGCCACCCGCTGCGAGTTTTCCCAAAACCTGTCGTGAGATTCGTCCGGTCGCTTTACAATGGCAGCGGAAAACAGGAGCAGCCAGCGCGGCCACCAAACAAGCTTTTCCATCGTGGCGAATCAGCAGAAATCCGTGAATCCCGCCGCGGGACTCGCTCCAGTAACGGAGCCGCGCCCCCCGGTGTTCTCGCGGCTTTCACGCCGCATTCTGTCTTGATTCGCGCCTCCAGAAGAAGCTCCCGGGCGCGGGGGAGAGAATCGAAGAGGATTTCGGGGACCGGGCCGCCGGAACGAAGTTAGACTTATCTCGGACTCATCGCGCGGACCGACGCGCGCTGGCAGCTGCGCCTCAGCTCGCTCGCGCGGCGCGAGGATTCTCCGCGTTTGAGGGGCCGGTGAAAGGACGACGCGAAGCGCGGTCTTCCTCCCTCCCTTTGTGGCTCGTCTCAGTACGAGCGAGTACTCGCGTCAGATTTGCAAGTAGCCCCCGTCGCAAAGCAAAGCGCTCATTCGAGACCACGGAGCGTTGCTCTTTTCGACGCTGGCCGGACACGCGCCATTGTGGCCGAGCCGATCTGAGAACACGCTACAATGACACAGTCGAGGAGGCTCGAATGGGGCAGAGATTCGGGCGCACAGTAGCCGAATTTACGGTAATTTCGGGGCCGATCCGCTTTCGATGGACCGTGCATGATAGGAGGAGAATGGTGAGTTTATACACTTTGAAACGTCGCCCTTTCAGGTGGCATCGAATTCCCTCTTCCGAAGAGAACGTCGCGCGTTTGTATAGACGCGCTGCGGAGATAAGATCTCGTCCGATGGTACTCGGTAGATAGCGAGTAATTGCCGGATTCGGTCGGTAGATTCGCATTCGGAAAACCAGAATCGCAGATCGATGCTCGATTTTACTCCGGTAACACCGGATAATGTCGCGGTGCGCTCGGCCCGATAGATCGCTCGAGTAGATAGAACCGGTTTCCCTACGCCGCGCGCGCGCGACGCGACCTACGCTTCTCCTCCCGGGAAATACAGTAGCGCCGCGAGTCAATCGTAGCACAGCGTATAACACAAAATTACAGGCCTCGCCCGCGATTCTGCCTCCGAGAGAGGAGAGAAAAATCCCCGTCTCATCAGCCAGTCCAAACCCGACCCGAGTTTCGGTTGGGTCGCGATGTTCAACGGACGGCGCGGCTACCTGGCTTTTCCACGGGACCCCTTAAGAGCCCGCTGAAAGATCGCTGTCTGGGAAATTAGCTAAAACTGGAGCTAAGTGGCTCGGGAAAGCGGAGCCGGGACGGAACGGCACGACACAGCGAGAAACGAACGCTCCGATCTAACTCAGTCCGATCCCTCGCTCCTCCGTCAGATATTTATCGCGTTTAAGTGGGATCCGGTTAAATGCAACTCGTGATCTGATTCCTGCGGGGTCTAAAAGCTTGCCTCGCCCGCCTGCCCCCTGCCCGCACGAGGGCCGCGGGCCAGATTCGTAGCGGAGATTGAGCGACGATGAAATCGGTGTTGCCGAAATTGTTCGCGGACCATTCGCGCGCGCGCGCGCGCGCAAGAGGGTGTATGCGCGTGTACAATACGCGTCTCTAACAAAGCACGTGAGAATATCGAGAGAGATCTTTGCGGTGGGAAGCGAATGTACGGCCGAGCGATTAAGAAGATCCGTCCTTGTTAGCAGTCAGCAATCCAGAGATGAAAGATTTCGGAAGGAAACAGCAGAGATCTCTAAACGTTTCATGCTCGCGTTCGCCGGACGAAAATCCGGCGCGAAGAGACGCTGAAATTCAACGAAAGCCACCCTCCTGTAACACGGGTGAACCGCGACGAAGTCACGCGCCGCGGTCCTTGACGCGCGGATGACGAATAAACGCCGTATCGATTGTCCCGGCTGCCATTGGCGACGACACCAGAGCGGCGATTTATCTTGGCGCGCCGAGAGAGCGCGCTGTTTTTTTCGCGAGGTGTAACGCAATCCGTCGCGCAATTCGATTACACGTTGGTGACGCATTTTCAACGATGCGGCGTGAGCGCGTGGGCAGGAGTGGGCGCGCCGAGGGTCCTTTCTATATAACGGAAGAACGCGGGCTCCCGTCCGCAACATATAATTTGCCTGAATTTAGTCGGATCGATTTTGAGTAGCTACTGTTTCGCTACAGGCGGATATCTTTTGTGGCGCGGTTTTGTGGGCGTACACTTCCCCCCGGGCTAAAACGCCAAATGGTAACGACGATACGCGGAATCGAACGTGGAATGGGAAACGGGGATTCGTTTTGTGCGCACGGTTTTCGGCCGGCGCGCCGGCGAAAAAAGAAACAATTTCCAACCGGGATCCGCCATTCTGGTAACCGGAAAACGTCCACTTCTCGTCTCTTTGTCGCGAAGCTAATTTTCGGAGTTTACGAAAGGAAATAATGGTAAAAAAAAAGCTCTCTATGAAACTTTTTTTATCCCAGTGAATTCTCGCCTTATCGCACCGGTGATTTTTTTCCGACAACATCGAATACGGTTCACAGGTCAACTCAAGGAACTCACCGACTTATCGCCGCTCATGAGCGATCAGACGTCAGATTTTGCAAATCGTGCCGTCAGTCGTCGGATTGTTACCGTCGAATTTTACATTCGCTTGCTGAGCATGCACGTGTATGTGTGCGCGCGCGCGCGCGTATTGTGGAATCAGACAATTTATTTCATTTATGACGTTTGCGCGAACGGTGTTGAGGCTGGGCGTATGTACGCATGACGATGCCATGTTACACACGTACGCGATCATCAAATTGATATTACGTAAATATATCGACACTTCAGCTACAGTCAATGAAATCACTTTATCGCGTCGAATTTTCCAAATCACGCGGGAATAATATTTTCGTTGATCAATCGAGCGCGGCAGTGACGCGCGGCGAGTGAGACAAATATCTCGTTATTGAAAGAAGACACCTGTCGAGCACAAAGGACCCTTCAGTGTGATCTTTTTGAAAAGACAAAATAAGAAAATTTACATACAGCTAGATGTGTCTTCATAACCGTCAAACACGCGCCAGAATCATTTCATGTCAAACATCGGGTCTCCCGTTATCGTGTTACCCGTAAACGCGCTCGCGAATCTATACCTGCGATATCGATGACTCAAGTACGTTCGAGCCACCAGATCGGTATCGACGATTTTCAGCAGATGAGAAAAGAAACCATCCCTCGGCGATGGATAGGCGCGTCGCAGACAAAAGCGGCGCGTAAGGTCGCGCGAATTTGCGGGGCATCCAGAAGCGTAGGAGGCTTGGCGTAAGCGGTAAGCTTTACCTCATTTCTGGCAATTACAGGGGATGCCAGAATCCGCCGCAAGAATCAACCCACTCCGTCCGCGTGTGTGTACCATCCGCCTCTGTTTAGGTGAACCACCCCTTCGCGGTGCGCGTGTGCGCGCACAGACTCGCTCGGTCCGCTTGTATGTTGCTCCCTCGCACAGTCGTCTGTGTACATGTAGTCACGCGGTCGCTGACGTGTACACACACACACACACACAGACAGACACTCATATAAATATATACACCACCCGCATACACACGTACACAAACACACCTAGACGTAGGCCACACTAACCTCGTGAGACTCGCATGTACATCTTGGTGGGGTCGAGACGCGCGTACGGCGTCATGGGAGCCCGTCCGCCCTCCTCAACCCCTGCGGCAACCCCATCCAGGAGAGAGGGTTGCCTCGAAACCCGCCGATTGAGCACCACTGCCTCGCCATGTTCCAGGATCTCCGTTAGGATTGGTAGACGAAGCGACAAACGGCTTCGCCGATTCGTCCATTTAGACCACGCCTCGCGCTCGGACCTCCTCTTTCACTTGCGAACAGTCTCAGCCGGGAGTAGTTGTGTGCAGCTGCAATAAAGGCCACCCCGGTAGACGACGGCCGGCTAGTCCTCGTTGACACGACGCACGCTCAAGAGTTTCGACCTTAACGGGAAGGCTTCTGGCCATCTGGCGCCGACGAAAGTGAATGAGCCAAGGACTAAATCGGGTGTCCCGTTAAGAGATTGGGGGTTACGCTTCCTCGGTCGATTTCACTTTTCCTGGTCCACGTAAGTGATCGCAGCGGATGCGGATCACTCCTCAGTCCTCCTGGAAGCTTCCGGATTCTGGACGGTAGTCGGTTGCTGGCGAAGACGGTAACGCAGGACGCATCTTTGGAGATCGACCGAGTCCGCTAGTGAACCGGCTTGGGATGTCCCGATGAGAGTACACTCGTATGTTATTGTTAGCCGATGTTAGAGGCACCAGGCCAATTTAGTGCCAACGAGAAATGTTGCTGGACTAGTGCTGGACGAGATAAGGATGAGGTCCGGGTGAAGTCGACACCTGATCATCATGACTTGTGAAGAGGTGACAAGTGACCGGACATGAGGATTCGTCGTAAGATTTCCTAATATCGAGTAAGGACTTGCGTTCGGCAATTCGCAATAGCCCGAAATTTCACTGGGCCGAACTTGAATTGAATCGGACACGTGTAAGAACCAATCGGATCCCGTGATATTCCGTGACGTGATTCCAAAGACGTGATCTTGAACCCCTCCAGAGGCTGAACACTTTAACAACAATCCTATGGCATGGTCACAAAGGAAGATAAGACTCTGAGGAGACGCCAAAACTATGGTGAACTATCCCTGAGGCTATCCGCGGGGCGAATTTCTGGGTAGACATTTTTTTAGGTAGACTAACGTCTTCAGGCTCGAGTGGCCGACCGTGTCCCGGTTAAATGTAAACGTTACCAGAAGCAATCAAGCTCGTCTCGAGCGGTGCGTGCTGTTGTTCGAGATGCACTTTACGGTGAAAGACACGTGTGCTGCGCACACGTTTCGTCGCGCGATCATCGAGCTGTAGCGAGGCCTGCACGGCGAATCATTCGTGAAGGGGATCTCTCGAGTCATCGGGAGGGCAGTGTCACCAACTGGAAGCGGTCTCTCACGGCTCTCAAACCTCTGACTCGGCTCCCGACAATGGATTCTCAGCAACTTGTCGACTCGGCCTCTCAGAACAGTCAAGACATCGTCTTACCGAAACCGACCAGCAGCACCCCGAGACACAGCATCGACGCGATCCTCGGGTTGGTCAGCCACAAAAGGACTCATCAAGAGATGGAGGACACCAGTCGCGACACGCAAGAGAATACTGGTACCAATCTCACAACAATTTCACACCAAGCAATACTGTCACTATCTCACGTTCCGCACATGATTTCCGCACGTCACGTTTCCCCCTCAACCACGTCGCTCTGTCGCCTCAAAATGAGAGCCTCCGCAGGCCAATTAGAGAGCCGGATTATTAGACAATACATTCGCACGTCTGAACGTCTGAACGTCCAAAGCAGTTCAGCTTAGTCTAAAATCAACGATCCATTATGTCGGCTCGATACTCTCCCCTTCTCCTGTTCTTCCAGTTTTGCGCTATTGACATTTCATCGAGGAAAGATGTTTCAATCAAACGCAACGCAAATTCACGGAAAACCTCAAACCGCCGTGCACCGTCGGGCGGATCCACGCGGCGATGCGCGTCTCCGCTGTGTTTCTGAAAATTCCCCATGCTGTACATGTCGATTTCCAAATCACAGAACGACTCGTCCCGCTGCCCCTCGAGACCCATTAACGAAGTAATCTCGAGCATCCAATCCATCCGCTCGCTCCTTTGTGGCTGCCCTCCACCCGCGGTTTGTTAATCGCTATCGCGTCATCAATCACCCGGTGTACCGATGTATCGCGCACCCTCGTCTATCTCGATATTTATCGCGCGTTTTCTAAACCATTTGTCAGTCATTTAATAAGTTCACCCAGATTTGTCGAGTCTCCTCTCTCGGCGAGTGGTCGCACGGGAATTTCGATCGGCGGGAAAGCGATTTTCCGCGCGTTCATCGAGGCACCGGCTGGCAAGAGCAACTGACTCCAATCGGACGCCGTTAAATATAAATTTAGTGGTATCACTGCCCCGAAACGAGAAATCAATGGCCCGCTAATAGCCTTGGATAGGTAAACCCGGGCGAATCCCGGCCGACGGCCGAGTACGCGCTTTTCCCGCGCGGAGTCCGATCATTTTTTCGCATTTACGGGCTAATTGAATTAGCGGGGCCGACCGTTCCGCGTTGTGACGTTGAATCTTGCATCCTGCCGGACGGACGCGATCGAGTCAGCCGCACGCGAGTTAGTCCCTGTCTGGCAGCTGCGTTAGTAGTGTCAGTAATGCGGCTTGATCGAATTTCGATCAATTATCGTCGGGGTCGCGCTTTTGCTCGATGCGTGGCCGTCTCGGCGCCGGGCGGGGGCGAAATTTAGAAGAAGAGCGCTGGCGCGGGCTGACAGCGGCCGGAGGTTCGCGCTCGCAGCGGGCAAGCTCGACGCGTTAAGAACGCGGAAAGAACGATTAATTCGTCGTGCACGAATCTATTGGCGGCTCGGCGAAACGTCGAGAACGTCGCAATACGCCGGCGATCGTTGAAAAATGTTAATGTTGTCTAATAATAATAACAACGCGTTAATGGCGCCACACACGAAACACTCGTTGCTCCACATAATGGCCGTGTTCTCGTTGCGTGATTTTCCACTTTGCTGATGAGATCAATTTGCCGCATGCTACCGGCTCCTTTTCTTTCTCCCTTCCTTCTCCTTTTCACTTGGCCGAGACATTTACGCGCTCCACTGTTTAAACGCCGTGCGCGCCTGTATTTTTTTTATTACACTGGAACAATTCATCGCTCGCACGGCCGGCTCGGTATTATCCGTCGATGATTAATGGATCGAGCGTTTTCGAAATCCGCCGACCGCAGAAGACACTAATCACAGTGATCAATGATTAATCGTCGAAGCGCGATCCATGCAAGCGCGGCCACAAAATCCTACGGATTCTCGTTAACGCCTCATTCGAACCGTAATCATTTAAATCATTTAGATCGCAGTCGCTCCATTCCGATCGTAATTACCATTGTCAATCGCCGCTGGGATTATAGCGTTCATTCCGCCCGTCGATACGCGACCACCCCTTGAACGATACGTCGTCCGCGTGGCCTGAACGCGCTCGCTCTCCAAGGATACGCTCTGACGTTAATTTCCCGCGCGAAACCGATCGCAAAAACATTGACGCACGTGTAAATTCCGCGTCATGCGACAAATTGTGCGTCAATTGAAAGAAAGTTGGAAAGAGAGAGGGAGAGGGAGAGAGAGAGAGAGAGAGAGAGAGAGAGAGAGAGAGAGAGGGGGAGAGAGGGAGAGGGAGGGAACACGCTCGTGGGAAGCTCGTCGGTAGCGTTAGCGTATAATTGGAAAATCGTTAGTATCGCTAGCATCTCGCGTTCTCTCCGAGATGCACGTGTACACCACGCGCCGCTAATCCGTCGTCGAGACCGTATCGAGCGATCGAAATCGAGCCGCCGCCGTATAACGGCCGCTGTCGTTCGTTATACGACGACGGAGGCGGCGGCGGCGGCGGCGGAGAGCCGATGCCGATGAAGCATGTATCCGATAATTCCTGTTTCGAGACACTTTCGTCTCGACTCGCCTACGCTGCCCGCGAACTGTCGTTCGTGTCATTCGAAAAGTGCGCGGCGTGCACGCCGGGGCGAGAACGCGAGTTATCGACGCAACACTTTCGGCGGAAGGGTCGGAATCGACAAAACAATTTTGTGTCGGCACTGCCACTATTAGTGAGCGGCTGCGAGTTGAGCGAAAAAAATGGCCAAACAGCTATCGGCTATCGGAGGCGCCGGTGAGTAACGTGAATTCTCTCGCGTCGCCCTGCGCGCAAAGTCGCGTGTTCGTTTGGCCCCGCGCCCGAGAAGTCTCGCACGGACGGTGGGGGGAGGAGGAGGAGGAGGGTGGGTTCGACGCCCGTCGTGCTCGTCGTTGTCCTTGTCGTTGAGCGCTTGTCAGCTGAGATATTTGTCTTATTGTTCGTCACGATAATAACACCGGCCGCTTCGCTCGATGAGTAATCGACGCGCGAGCGGCGACTGCACCCAGGAGTTTTTGCGTTAATTTATGGCGTGTTCGGCGGATCGCGTCAGTCGCGCTCGCGCGAATGACTCGCGCGTGGCCGAGGGCACGCACCGGCGGAAATTATACAGTTCGGAGTGTATTGTCCCAGAGTGGCGTTCATTTATTTTCGCGTTTGGCCTGAAACGTCAGCAGCTGCGCGCTCGCTTGTATCGCGATTTGTCCAACGCAATCGCGCGACTTGTGTTTCATGCGATTAACGAGATCGCGCTCAACGTGGGATTTTCTTCTCAACACCGCACGATCACGCTGGGAAGGTGTTTAAAGGTGTCGAGATCTTGTAGTGTATGCCCCTTTCTCTCTCTCTCTCTCTCTCTCTCTCTCTCTCTCTCTCCCTCTCTCTCTCTCTCTCTCTCTCTCTCTTTCACTCCTTTCAATCGGTAAATTTAATCGGTAAAATAATTGCCAATTACCTGTACATCTATAAAGAGTTTTCGAACACGGGGCTGATTCTCATTGGCATTTACGTAATTGAAATAATAGTGTAGCATAGATCTCCACTAGAAATTCGGTACAATATCTGATCGAGTCGCGCTAATGACGAAACCGATGAAACCGCGAGTGTACACGCGTATAAAGCGCAATTTGACGTTATCGGCGGATCGACACCGCTCGCTCGGAGTTTTCGCGCAAAAATAGCCCGCAATTACTTTAATTTGAGCTATTACCGCGGTGAATTGCTCTCCCGAAATCGAGCGACGTGCGGTGTCGGTCACGTTGGAGCGGAGAACACGAGCGAGCGAGCGAGCGAGCGAGCGAGCGAATGAGAAATCATCGCGTCACTCGCGAACCGCGAGCGTACAGCGCTACTCATCCTTCTCATCTTATTCCGAGCTATAACAAGCCCATAAGGTAAAGACCCGTCAAGCCTAATATGTTCGACGTGGGATTAATTGTCAGCGTTTATTCCCGGGGATTCACGTTGATCGCTCTGGAAGGGAACTACTCAGAGCGAGAGGCCAGACCGGCAGGGCGAGGGGAGGGCGAGTCGCGAGAGAAATATACTAACAATGAGAAAGAGAGACGGAGGCTGCTTAGCCGAGACCCAATCTTGTCCCGCTAATCGAATTATCATTAATTATGATACTGTGCGCGGGAGGAGGAGGAGGAGGAGGAGGAGGTAAAAGAGAGCGAGGACCGGTCGTCACTAATAAGTATGAGGAAGAACGGAGGGACGCGCGAAAGCACGGCAGAAAGAAAGAGAACGAGAGGAGAGAGAGAGAAATGGGGAAGCAAGAGGAGAGAGAGAGAGAGAGAGAGAGAGAGAGAGAGAGAGAGAGAGGGAGAAAGAAAGCAAAATGTGGAAGGGGAGATAGGTGGAAGCGGCTTTAAGTCGCTTCTTAAGAGGTGAATTGACGTGCCTACTAATGGATCGCGCCTGCCACGTCTACCTTCCTTCTTCTCGCTCGCCTTGGCGCGCTTCTTTTCCTCGTCACCTCCTCGTCCAACGGCACCACACCCGCGGCCTTAACGGCGGGGCTAACAGGGTCTGTTATCCGCGGCGAGAATCGCCCGTCTACCGTGCGGCCGCGATTGATCGAAATTAACTCACTGGAATAACCAATGACCGTCACGACGTGCGCGAGAACTCGATACGCGATTATTTGTACACGTGTCACCGAGCCACATTGTGCGACTCCCCCGCGTTTGTCGTTGCTTTCGTTTCAGCTTCCCAGCCTTAAAATATCGCGGTCGTGTCGCGACTAAGAACTAACCACCGGCGAAAAGTTCGGTTCGACGGTGGATCGGAAGATCGACGTTCGTCGATTCTCGCCGATTAGCGTCGTTATCACGATTCGACCGTTGGCGATCGCACGGACGTTTCTTTTTTCCTTCCGTGTAATTTCATTTGGTTTCTTCCTTTTTAGCTCTTATTAACCTCTCGACTCGCCGCTCGCGCTCTTTACACCCGATTCTTTACGTCTGATTTGTAGGTAATAAGACACCATTTCCCCCGCGCGGTTACCGTCCTTAAAGTAAAGATAAACGTATAACGAACTATTTTTACAGAGCCAGATCGATACGTATCCGTTAATTGTGTGGATATCGTTGCTGCGCGCACGTGCGCACGCACGCGAGTCCTCCCTTCCTTTTATTTAAATCAAAGTGCTCACCGTTCGCAAATAATTCTCTCGC